ATCGGTCGACCCAAACACACATTTTTTTCATAAAGGCAAACAGTCAATCAATTGGGTGGTGATCAAAGTACGTACAAAAGTTGAAATTCAATTCCAGCATTGTCCTCTTGCTAAGGCATGTTCTTATGGATCTCACATTGCATTTTCATGTGCCATTGAATGTGGATGTATGTGTCTTGTATGGAGTGGTTGCAGTTTCTGCTTCAGTAATTGCAGACTTGCAGTAGTCAAAGATTCATGTTGGGCTGAATCTTTTATCCATGTTGGGTTCTATTACTGTGGTGTTATATTTCATATATATATTCACGTACCCATTGGCTGTTATGAATGCTGTGAACAGAGCAGTTTTGAATGCTGTGAACAGAGCAGAGACGACAGAATTAAAGTGGGAAGAAATGGTCCCCTCCTCCTCCTGTAAATTGGCTAGATCAAATTAAATTGTGATGGGGGTATTTCTAACAAGATTTACTTCCTTTGAATGTCTTGTTCACCCTGACAAGGGGATCTTTATTGCAGCAAGATGGGGTGCCCTGTCCATATCTATAGGCTTTCTCGGAGCAGAACTTGTTGCCCTGAAAGGTGGCAATGGAGCTAACCGAAGCTTTAGGAGTGGAGACAGATTTTCCATTAGCAGTGAAAGTGTTACAGCCAACGATGGGCGTATTGTATATCGATATGTCCGGATAAATTCACCGATATATAAATATTTTAAAAACTTTATAGGGTCTTATATTTCTTTGAGACCCTCTCCTTATAAAAAAAAAAAGATTTGGCCATAACAATATGCCAATTCTCAATATGGGTATCGATGCATATTGATGAGGGGTAATTTGGCCCAACCTTCGAACACGTGAAAGCGATTTATTGATCGGACAATGACTCGACATTTCCTACCACCTCAGCAAGTCAAGTCAGTTCGGGTATCTCGGGCACCTCGGCCAAGACTGAGGTTTAAGCAGCTCACGATGGCCTGACTTGCTGAGGTGACACGTAGCCAACTTTTAGAAGTCAGTTGTCTCCGACCTCTCCGGGATTACGTCGCACGACTGCCAGCCTTATCCTCATCCCGCCCGAATCGGACGGACTCGATAAGCCTTATCAGCTAGTAGACCTGTTCATGGGCTGGGTGGCCCGACGGACCGGCCCGGCTCGGCCCCCGGACGGGCTTGAACAGGCTTTTTGGCCCGCGGGCTTAACCTCGGGCCAAAAAGCTCGGCCCACATAAAATTCGAGTTGGGCTCGGGCTTTGCCAAAATAGCCCGGCCCGAGCCCGACCCGAGCCCGACCCGGCCTGACCTATAGTTAAATCTAAGTAAAAACCCTATGTGATGTCCATTTCAATAATTTTTTTGATTTAAGAAGGTTGTTGATTCACTTGTAGGCCCATTGTTCATTTAAATAGGGGGAAAAAACATCTAAATTAAAATAGATAATGTTCATTTGAATAGGGAAAATTTCGAATTTCTTTTATTAGGTCGGGTTTCGGGCTTCGGGCTTTTTATCAGGGTCGGGATCGGGCCCAAGTTGTAGGCCCATTGGTCGGGCCGGGATCGGGCTCGGGCCTAACATTTTTCTGTTAATAAAGAGTAAAAGCCCGGCCGGAGCCCGGCCCGGCCCAACCCATGAACAGGTCTATCAGTTAGCACAAAGTTCACCTCCTGGTGCAGAACGGATTCTTAGTAGCATGGGCCAAAGATCTCGGAAGAGTTTCATGAGACTTACAACAACTCACTTATATAAGGACACCAACGTCAATGATTTAAGGTACGTGCGATTAATTGCTCACTAGTTTACTTGCAATTAAGCTTTCAGCTCGACATTAAGAGTACTGACTTAAGCATCGGAGCGCCCACACCGGATAAACCACCCTAGGTCTTCTGAGCATTGTTTCCTTGCAGTTCGACCGGCCAGTTAAGCATCCATCGTCCAAACTGCCCTCCAAATAAGAGCATCAAGATCACACACTATCACATATCAATATTTTAATCCTTGTTTATACAGCAACTTCATTGAGTGAATCATATTTGATAGATCCAAGGTGGTTTGATGAACGCTCTCCATGACTGATTGGAGATCTATATATATATATATATATATATATANGAAGAAATTATTACAAACCCAGTAATCAAGCGATTTCACGCAGATAATGAGAACCCCAGAACCATAAATAGCCGTTACTGGAGATCTATATATATATATATATATATATATATATATATATATATATATATATGGACTCACCTATTCATATTCTATTAAATTAATATTTGTTATATTAACAAATAAAAATAAGAAAAAAAAAACTTTTTTGTTGGTAGGAAGGTAAAAAAAAGTTGAAAGCATGAAAACAAAGATGGTTTCGCATGCATGACCATTGGGGTTTGTACGCGGCTTATACACGGGTGTAGATTTTTAGAAAATTTTCAAGAGGAGTTTTCGTCAGCAATTGCATTTTTATTTTTGAAAATATCTTTCTTTTCGTTATTTATTTATTTTTTTGATGAGTATCTTTTCGTTAATTATTTTTGTTTTTTAAGAGATTGATGACCGAGTGCCGGCCGGCCGCCCACCATTTCCTTCACTTATTTACAAATAAACATGTAAGGCCCAAGCCCAAACCCAAAAGGATATACCTTCTCATTCATTTACAAAAAATGCTACAGGAGCAAATAAGCAAAACCTTCTATTTTATATTATTTTGTATGTATTTATGCGAACCTAAGTAAAGGTTAAGGATTGAATTCCCAACTTGTAAGAACATTTATCTCCGTAATGTGGGCGCCATTGCAATAGTAATTTTAGACCAGGCAATCGGGTCAGGCTGGGTCAAGGCGATTTTGGGTTGGGTGGGCAAAAGGTTAGATTCTAACCCTAAGTATTCATGTTAAGGTTGATCCATGAGTCAACGATTCAACCAGCCAAACCAGCTGGTCTTTGACCAAATAATTTTTTAATAAAAAATATGTCTGTTTGAATGGTTCAAATAATCGACCATCTGAATCAACGCCAATTTGAAAGCATTGGTTTGAAAAGAGGTGATCCATAGCCCAAACCGGGTTAACACAATGGCGGATCTATTTAAAAGCCGGTGTGTGCAATTGCCCCCACTGAAATTTGAAACTGCTTTATATGTATAAAGAAAATTAATTTTTTTTTGACAATTGCCCCATTCAAATAAAATAGTAGGAGGTCAAATTTTCTTAATGAGATTTTTTTCATAATTTTAAAAGGCGTCAGAGGTGAATCCGCAGGTGTGTCCCCACGGTCAAAGGTCCTGGATCCAACACTGGGTTAAGGTGCCTTCTAATTTGCGTCACTAGATAGGGGGCCTTAGCCCACCTTTTTTGAGTTGGGTGATTTCAGGTCTAAATACTAACCAAACAAAAAGAACAGGTACAATATTGACTTATAATTTTTATGATGTGCATGCATCAAGATTTACAGTTCTAAGACTCCTGATTTTTGTGTGTGTGTGTGTTTCAAGCATAAGGCAAATCCATTCAAAAATCATTTCAGGGATACAGAGATAAAATCGCCAACAAGGCTCGTGAATTGTAAGGACCATATCTTCCATGCGAGACTCTTATTTTATTTTTTTGGTAATCCCATGTGATACTCCTAAAATAGCTTATTCATTGTGGTCATCTCACTTAATTCTGGACACAGGTTGTTTGATGTGGCGTGGCTTCATTTAACCTCGAATCCCCAAAAAAAAAATAAAATAAAACAAACCACACAGATCGAATTGATCCAACTCAATTAAACAAAATTGAATACTGAATTCCAAGGTTTTTTAAAATCCGACGGGACAGCAAACCGTTTTGGAGTCTGGTTCCTGGATCAAACGGTCTGGATGGCTCATTCTGACAAAAAAATAAAAAAAAAATCAAAAAATGGCCAAAACCATTTCTGGATCGAACTGTTCGATGGTTTGTTAATCAAATCAACGATTTTTTTTTTCCAAATATTGATTTTGGGGTAAAAACAAAACCGGTTCTTGGTTTTTCCGGTCTGACAATCCGGTCCAGTTCGAATTTAAAAACATTGCTGAATTTGACCCCCAACACATCCCGCAAACGATAATGGGCCCGGCTTAATATCCTATGTGAAGGATTTATACCTTGAATCCGGGCCAAATTACAATTGATCACCCCTACCCCTAGTTTGACAACCCGAATTTGATTAACACTAAGCCCAATCTACTGACCTAACCTGATAGGATTAGGTCCAAGTAGGTTTACCAGTTACCACTTAAGCCAACCCACTGATGACATCTGAGTCATGGGCTCCCCACGGAATGCACCCCACTTGCTGGGTTCACATGTTCTCACATTCTTACCCATCGGACATTACAGCTGGACGTTGAGAATATTTCCTTGTCTTCATGAAGAGATATTCCCAAATTAGGTGGGTAGAGGTGTGGGAACAGTTCTGGTGGGTAGCCGATCGAAGTGCACTTGCCACATAGCACATTTTAATGTGCATTAGAAACATGTGAACCCATGTGAGGAGCCAATGCAATCTGACAACCCCTAGTTTTATATCTTTGTTCTTATAAAATTACTTAATAGAGATTTTCTTGCTTTTTTTCTCCCATACATTAGAGATGTTTACAACTCGAGGTCGTTTACCACAAAAGTTAGTTAAGTTAACAAGTCGATACTATAGAAAGTTAGAAACCCCTCAAGTCCTTTTAGATTGGCTTATAAAGAAAAACGTCCTTTCGCTTTGGTTACATGCAACATTTGGCTTAGGAAATACCAAACTAATGTCATCTCAATTTCACTTTCCAAAAAGAGTGAAATTGAGTTTTTTTTTTTTTTTTTTCAAATGCTTGAAGTCTTGAATAAAATGGAATAACCTTAAAATTGCAAGATTTTTTTTGGTAGATAAAATTGCAAGATTTCACTCCTTACTTTTTTTTTGATAGATTAAAAAAAAATATTTCACTCCTTACTTTTTGACCTTCCGGACGCCCAATCACAAATTCTTACTGTATTCCCATTTATTTTCAATTCATAGTACAACTATTTCGTTAAGGCTTATTTTAATGCTTTCTATTATTATTTCCGTACGAAAAAGATTAACCTCAACCTCAAGGTTAAATGGATTAACAGTGTCCGACAATTGTTACAACCTTCCACCCAATGATGTCACCTTACATTGGCATCCCATCTGTCCAATCGAGCTCCTATAGCATCCAACCGTCCTCAATTCAATAGTAAATTCATTATGTCCAGCCCAGATGGCCAAGTATTCATCAACCGTCAATCCTAGGCTTATGGTATTTTAGTAATTGGCTCACGTTATCACGGCATTATAGTAATTTTTCGCCCAAGCAAGTCCAAACCAGCCGTGAGTAAAGAGGGCTCCAAGCTTAGAAGTTAGAACTCGTCGTAAGTTGGGAATTAAGATCATAGAAGTAGAATTCCTCTCGACCCTCTGGTTTCTCTCTCTCTTTCTCACATTTTTCTCTGTTCCCTCTTCATCTTTGACCAAGTGGAATTACCGGCAAGAGCAGTCTTGAAACGGCGTTAAAAGCATTGGTGGTTCGTTCATGATCAATCTCTTACTCTGACACGTCTCTGAAACTTCTTGACTTCAAACCTTTAATTGGTGTTCTCGCCCAATAATAAAAGATGAGAGTGAGACGAATTCCTTACTCATTTCCTTACAAAACCAAATTTCTCAACAACCAATCAATCGAAACTTTTCTGTCTCCTCGAACTTCTAGCTGTTGCGAGGATGGTTTTTGGTTTTAAGAGGAAAAAAAAGGCAATAAAATAGAGCCTTTGGTTTCGTAGAAGTTCTTGTTTGAAAGAAGCTCCGACGACCCGGGAGATATCGGTTTCTAATTCAGGAAATCATGGTTCTAACTAATCCGTTTATTCTCCTGCTAGTGGTCGCCGGTGTCTTCTTGGTTTTTCGTATAATTTTGTCTGGTACAGCCCTGTGGTTTCTTTTCAAGAAATGGTGCAGAACGATCGATGATTGGTGTCACGTCTATCAGTTCTATAAAATTCCCGAATTCAACCGAAACTTTCAGGAGAATCAGCTTTACAGAAAAGTTTCTACCTATGTAAGCTCGTTAGCCTCAATAGAAGACTCCGACTACGCGAATCTCTTTTCCGGGAAAAAGTTGAACGAGATTACCCTCGAACTCGATACCAATCAGCTTGTATACGATACTTTTCTCGGCGCCAGAGTCTCATGGATGAGCGAAGAGAAACGCGAAGGAAACAGCAGGTGCAAAACTTTTGTTTTGAAGATCAAAAAGAAAGACAAGCGTCGAATTCTCCGTCCTTACCTCCAACACATCCACTCTGTCTTCGACGAGATCGAGCAAAGAAGAAAAGAGGTGAAGCTCTACACAAACACGGAAACGGTGCATCGCAATGGGCGGTGGAGTTCGATCCCTTTTACTCATCCGTCGACTCTTGACACCGTCGCCATGGATCCCGATATCAAAAATAAGGTGAAGTCCGATCTTGAATCATTCCTCAAATCGAAGCAGTACTATCACCGACTCGGCCGAGCCTGGAAGCGAAGCTACCTATTGTACGGACCCTCGGGTACGGGAAAATCGAGCTTCGTTGCCGCCATGGCGAAATTTCTCTGCTACGACGTGTACGACGTCGACCTCTCCAAAGTCTCCGACGATTCCGATCTGAAAATACTCCTATTACAGACGACAAGCAGATCGGTCATTGTTATCGAAGATCTCGATCGATTTCTCGGCGAGAAATCAAAGACGGTGAGTTTATCTGGGGTTATGAACTTCATGGACGGGATCTTCTCGTGTTGCGGCGAGGAGCGGGTAATGGTCTTCACAATGACCAGTAAAGATCACATCGATCCTGCAATCCTGAGGCCCGGAAGAATTGATGTTCACATCCATTTTCCTCTGTGCGATTTTTCTGCGTTCAAGACTCTGGCCAATAGTTATTTAGGCCTCAAGGATCACAAGCTCTTCCCTCAAGTGGAGGAGATCTTCCAAGGTGGAGCTACTCTGAGTCCAGCGGAGATCGGAGAGATCATGATCGTGAACCGGAGCTCACCAAGTCGGGCGTTGAAGTCGGTGATGACAGCGTTGCAAACGAACAGTGACGGAAAAGGGTACGGGAAGATTGGGCAGCAGTTGAGCGAGAGCAGATCGGTAAACGGACGGATTCAGAGTGTGGATGAATTGGGGGAATCGGGTGGGGTAATCTGCAGGGAGAGCGTTCACACGGTGAGAGAGTTCCGTAATTTGTACGGTTTCCTGAGACTGAAGAGCAGTAGGAAGTCGGGCCCCTTCGATCTAGGCTCGGGCGAGAACGAAGGTTGACACTTTGAAGCAGTCACAAGACTCACAACTCACAACAATGCTTAGGCACGTGTTGAATAAAACCCAATCAACAAGTAGGTACAGACAGGCACGTTTTACGACTAAATGACAGAAGGGTTTTCTTCTTCTAATTGGGATTTGGAATGCAACAATGCACGAGATACAAGTCCCATTTGATATTTTAAATTAAAGAACTCCCGCCGGTTTTTTAAATTATTATGTTTCTCCTCCGGCGGGTTTTAAACTCGCGGAATTTGTCAACTTGTTCCCTTTAAATATTACGGCCTTATGGCCTGTAAATGACAACATTACCATTTAGACCGTTTCCGTAACTGGAACTATGAAACTTGTGTTGTTCAATTAGAAAGAATACTTCTGAGTTCTGCCAATGAATCTTGGGGCTTGTTCGTTTTTGTTTATCTAGGTAATTATATTTTGGATCCCTTATATTTTCCGTTCAAAGTGTTTTCTTTGATAAAATTTGTCAGAATTAGGGACAAATGATTCGGATTAATCGAACACAATGGCTGTTCAATGAGTTGTAGAACCAACGAAAAGGTTTCACGCCAGTGACGTAGATTCAATGTATTTTATTACTGGCGTGAAACATTACCACTGTTTTCATAACATGTTGAATTATCATTACATTCAGTTAATCTTTATTGCAAAGAGTTCAAATCTGCGCCTCATTACGTCCTACAGCACATCTCCGCTGTGTAATGATATTATCATTTTTTGTATATTATCAAGAGATGTTTTCAATACATGGCAGAGATGTGCTGTGGAACGTTGTGGGGCACCCCCTTGTGGGGGTGACGGGATCTGCTCCTCAAGAACGGGCGCTTCACAGGCACATCCACCATACATTGGGAACATCTCCCATGAATGATAACCAATAAATATGAAAGATGTTTTCAATGCATGATAGGATGTGAGTGTGAAGTGCCAGGTGTGAGGAACAGATCCGGTCTCCTTGTAAAACGCAGATGTGAACTCTATTGCAAAGGATAATAATAGCAAATTAACTGGGCCCAAGCAGAAAAGTGAGAAAAAAACACCTTTGCAAAATCCTCAATGAAAATCAATCATGATAGTCAGCCGAATGTCCTAGGAACAATAGAATCGTAGAATGTAGACTACTTGAAAATTCAAGGTAACGACTAACCGTGGGTGTGAGGCAAGGAAAAAAGGGTGGAGCATTTGGTTAGGCTCCAATGGTTCAAATGTCCAATCCTTTTTCTTTATTTGATATATAAATATTGGGGTCTATATTTTCGAAGATTTACATCTTTTTTTCATATAATATATTTTATAAAACAGAATTCATTGAACTCGAGGTAGCTAGCTATAATTGCATGTAACTGTTTGACGGGTAAGATGTTCCTAAATGGGAGAACGATGTCTGTAAGTGGAATCCAATTATTACAAAAATGATAACGGGCTAATGAGTAATGAAGATCATCGTCCTGTTGGACAAGAGAGATTGACAATTGTGAATTAATGGGTTGGCTCAAAATTGATTTGAGATTGCGCTTTTTTGACTTTTTACTTTCGGAACTGTCAGAATGACTGCTTTGTACGACTTCGGATTCGGATGTGGGCAGGAGGAGATCCGGACTCGCTTTTTACGTTTAGAAGTGAAAACAGAGGGGCAGCTGTTGCTCATTTTGGATGAAACGCTCGCTCAGGCTCAGCTCCTCAACTGCATTAATGCATGGTCCACACCACACCATCTGTGGTGACGATTGTGGGCCTTGCATCAATCAAAATTCCTTTTCTCAGTCTCATCACAGGGGGATGAGATATTATTTAAGAAGATGGGAAATTGGGATGCTTCCATTTTGGCCTTCTCTTCGAAATGGTGATCGATATATGCGTCATGTGTGCATAACGTTTAGCAAAAATCCACTTTGGCCCTGTCATCCTTCGTCAGAACCAAACCGGGACATACATGCTCTGCATTTTTCTTTCTGGAAATTAGAAAATGTTTATTTGGGAGTTGGGATCCTCTCTCTTGAGCCTCGACTGTCACCGGAATTCTCTACAGCATCAATGAGGATGTTCGATGGGCACAGGCACAGAGAGCATAATTTACTAAATACAACGTATAAGGGGAATTTGTGGGTCCATGTAATGCTTATTTTACACGTATTAGAGTGAGATTTGATGTGTGAAAAAACAAACAAACAAAAAAAAAATAGAGCGAGAGCTGAATTGTATGCCATTTGGTTAATAGGGTCTAGGAATTGGCTTAATATATATAAATGGTTAATGGTCCATTTATTAGGCCAAGATTGGCATACGACTCAAGCAAGGATAACATTATTGTTTAGATTGCAGGATAAGAAAAAATAAGACTCGGTTTTCAAATCCTTATTCCATCATCATCCTTCTATCCCCGCCCAAATGGCAAAACTCAAATTTCAACCTGAGAAAGAAAAAAAAAAAAAACTGCCTAGGGTAAAAGGACTAAGCAAATTTCTATACGGTTTTTGGCATCACACTACTATTCGTCAATCTTTCAATTTGAACATATATAATGTTCAACTATGATATGGAAAAGATATAATATCTGAAAAATATCTAATCAATCAACTAGAATCATAAACTCGGTAGCGAATCAAGTGTTATTTATTAAAAATTTATGAATGGGTTATGATTGGTCAAGTGTTAGTTATCAAAATTTTGGGCAACTTATATATCATAAATGTGTTTGGTAGAGATAGGTAATGAAATGACTGTATTGTATTGGTGCCTTGAGTTTTAGTTGTGAATCTGTTTTATGATCTAATCCAAATTTGAGAAAAAAAAAACTGGAGGCAAAATTTCATGATGGTCTATAGTGGAAGTGGAACCACATAAATCTCTAGATGTACTTTTGTGTTGCTCTATTTTATACTTTTTTTTCCTAGTTCTTTGCTTGTCAATCATTTTTCTTGTTCCTAGGTTTGTTAGCCTCTTAACAACCTGAGAAAGAAATGTCATGTTTGTTGTGGATTAAATTGATTTTTTTCAACAAAAAAAATGCCTAGGGGTAAAAGGACTAGACAGATTTTATACTCCTAGATGGTTTTTGGCATAACACTACTATTCTTTTACCTTTTAATTTGAACATATATAATTAGCAACATAATTCCTCTACGTTGATTCTCTGAACAATTTAGACTCTGTTTGATTTCATTTTTATTAAATACTTTTTTATAAGTACTTAAAATAAGCATTGGGACCACACATTAAGTGGAAAATAACCACTTATCCATGTTTGATAAAAAAGTGAGGAAAATGTGTTTATTTGAATAAAGAAGTGCTTACTGAAAAAGCAAATTGAGAGTGGCTTTTTCTAAGCACTTATTAAATAAGAACATTTTCGAAATTTTTGGAACAATTCATTCCCTCCTTAAATTTTTATATCCGCAAAATACTCTTATGCATTAGAAAAACCTTCTTTTCCCTCATTCGAACAGACTCGAGTACACTAATAGTAACACCTCTACTAGGAGTGACCGACAACCACATGACAACCTGAAAACTCACCAGCAATCAGGTCATGTTCGCTCTTGGAACCATTTTTTCCATGTTTTCATGAATATTTGTTGTATTTTTTTTGAGGTATTTAAAATCCGAAACCCTTTTAGCGTTGTTGTTTACCAGATTTGTTTTTTTAGGGGGATTTCATGCCATTCTCATTATACAATCGCCAAATAGGGGTGAGCATTATCCGGTTAAAACCGAATTACCGAACCAAAAATTCCGATTCTGGTTTTTTAGTTTGATTTTTTGGGTAATTCGGTTTAGTTATTTTGGTTTTTAGGAATTTTGGCTTTTAGAATTATAAATTCGGTTAACCGAAAAAACGAATTAGCTGAAATTCATTATATAATATGTAATATATATATATATATATATATATTAAATTTGATTTTTAACCGAAATAGCCAAAAACCAAATCGGAAATTTTGGTTTTGGTTTGTTTTCATCTTTTTTATTTTGGTTTTTTAATTTTAACCAAATAAACCGAATGCTCACCCCTATTGCCAATGACATTAGGTTGGTTATGAATAATTGATGATTGTTCTTATTGCAAAACTGTGTTTTATTCCAATTTATGAATAATTGATGATTGTTCTTTGGTGATGTTTTTCCAAAAATTTTTTCCTTAATCCGAATGTTGATTGTTTTTTTATTAATACGATTTTTTTGTGATACTATATGTATATTTTTTAATTTTTATTGCACATTGTCCATGTAGTGCTCAATGTGTGGGTCCACATGGACTCCCATGTGTCACGGCGTGGTGATATGGCGAACTTCAAATGTATGATAAAATATTGAAAACCATAGTTTGGCAAATGAGTCACCAAATAACATCCCCATTCCAATTGTGGGGACTAAAATTGTTATTTATGCTAAAATAAACACTTGTGGGGAAAGTAGCTCACCAAACCTCCCCACTCCAATAAGTACTTACAATACCTAATAAATGATTTGGCAAATGAGTCACCAAATAACATTAAGGGATTATTAAAATAAACACTTTTTGCTTGTTTATCAAACCACTTAATCACCAAACATATCCTTATATATCATAAATTTATTTGGTAGAGATGGGTAATGAAAGAGTTATATTGTATTGGTAACTTGAATTCTAATTGTGTATCTGTTCCATGATTCAATCCACACTTGAGATCCCTAAGGCAAAATTTTATGATGATCTATGGTGGAAGTGGAGGGACATAGCCCACCACTAACCACCCCTCGGGATGAGTATAGATTAGCAATGTCAAGGAAATCATACACTTGAGACTTGCAAGATTGCAAGACACTATACTTGCTGGACTCTAGGCTTGTAGTTTGGAATCACATGCTAGATTTGCAAGTAGAATTGCAGGACTTTGGACTCGCAATAAGGATTTCGTGGCCTGTGAATCTATTACTTAGTAGTTTATGGTGTTGATCCAGTTTGGGATTTCTCATATATAGTGGGAACTTTCAGGTGTATTGGGAGATAGGGTTTTGGTGGGTAGGCTATGAATACCATAATTGTAATATCTACTATTAGATAGTGGATTTGTTCACATCTGACACATGTGGACATAGGCTGTAAGTTAAATCACAAATCTCTAAATGCATTTTTTGTGTTGCTATGTTTTATATTTTTTATTCATGTTTATTTGATTGTCAATTGTTATTCTTGTTCTCGAGTTTGTTAGCCTCCTAACAAATTGGATTAGGGCAACTAAGGGAGTGGGTGATGTTCGACAATGTGAATGGTTTCGCTTTCTAAAATAAAATCAACTACAATGTCAATACAAAGAAAACATTTTTTATGGGGTTCAACTATGTTATTGGAAACTTTACCAAAAAAAACTTGTAATGAATCAACTGGTATCATAAAAGTGGTGACCATTAGGTGATATTTTTTGAAATTCAAGGGGGGTTGATTGGTCAAAACTCTTCTGGTATTATGTCTTTATGATGAGTTTGGGTTTGGTCCTAACGCCCATTTTATCTGTACATCAAGAATAATTCCCCTTGTCCTTCATTGTGAGATGTTTTTAATGTATGATTGCAATGGGTGTTAGGATTTTGGGGGGCTAAGTTAAACAAGAAAATGAAATAACTAGAGAGGAGAAGTAGGGTTTGGGGAAAATGGTCCAAGAAGGTTTGGGTCTATTATAGATTTTTTAAATAAAAAACAAATAAGTATTTTTTTAAATTTTGGAAATTGGAGGAGCCTTAAAGAGTGATCCTTTACGATTTTAGGTCAATTTATTTATTTATTTATTTATTTTTTTTTGGGGGGGGGGGGAAGGGTCCACAACCATATAAATAATGGTTTTATAAAAAAATTTGGGGGATCAAGGACCTCCCACCAATATGCTTGGCTCCGCCCTGGATCATATTCAATTCCTTTCCGGCAGTATAGATTTTCTCTTTTCCATGATGTGGTAGTTGTTTTTATTTTAGAAAGCAAAACTATATTCACGCTAACAAAAACTTGCTGAGGATGCATCAATACGAATGATTTTCTGCTTTTTTTTTTTAACACTGCTTCAAATTAAAAAAAAAAAGATAACAAAAACAACTCATGATATCATTGTTAATGGCCAATGAAATAACAGCTAATTCCAGAAAATTTCTGACCAATCAAAACCCCGTTATTTTTTATGAATACCTTAAGTTAAATGAGCTGAACACTTTACAAGATTTTTTTTTTCTCCTTTACACTTTCGTTACATTATTGGGGCAATGAAGCACTGTTCAATTACCCACATAAGTACCAATCGAGGGCTGGCTCGTTGATGTATTAGTTCGTTCGATTATTCCAGCGGAAAAAAAAGGGTCTGGAGAAGTTATTAATGATGCATAACACCGAAGACCAAAACGAAAATACCCACATAAAAATGTCAAAATAATATCATTTTGACATAAATGATCATAAACAAAAATGATTTTTTTTTGCTTGTTCTGAAATACTAATATGGCAAATTATTTGAATGCAACGGCCAAGAAAAACCAGCTATGCGGAACATCCTCTTATTACCTTCGCTGCATGTAGGAGCTAATTTTTTACAAGGATCCTAAAATGTAGTCAGACATGGTTGATGTGGCAAATTTTGATTGGCCGGAGAAGCAGAGTCTGCAAGTCGCTGCAGTCAAAGTAAATTCCTATATAATTAAGGCCCCGTTTGGTTTGCGGGAATAGGGATTTGGAATCGAAATTGCCCATTCCGATTCTAACTGTTTGGTTGGGTGGAATTGGAATCCTATTTCCATTCCCGTTGGAATGGCATTCCCCCATTTGAGAGAATGGCCATTCCTTGCCCCTCCCTTGGGAATGAAATCCCATTCCTATTGATTTTAATTCCCATTTCCATTCCTGTATGAATCAAACAAATTATGGGAATGGACCATTCTGATTCCGATTTCAGAGGATTTAAATTCCGATTCCGACTGCAAACCAAACAAACCCTAAAAAATGGGAAGTTGTCTAAAACTCACCACGAATTTTTAGCATTTCTCTTAAATTCACCACAACTTTTCAAAATGTCTAAAACTCACCATGTCACTAACTTGATGTTAAAGAGACTAACATATATTAATATATTACCATTTTAACCTTTATAGAAAAAAATAAAATATATACAAAATAAATTAACTGGTGTTAATATATTACCATTTTGATATTTAGACATGAAAAAAGGAAAAAGTTCAAAAAAATATTTTCAAATATAAAATACATAAAAATATAGAAATTATAAAAACTGCAAACAAAATAAAAAAAAATATTTTCAAATTATAAAAACTATAGAAAATATAGGAAAATTTATAGATTATAGAAAATAGAAATATGTGAAAAAACAGAAATTATAAAAAACATTGGAAATTATAACAAAACACTACAAAAGCAAAAAAAAAAAAAAAAACATCAACGGTGCATTAACAGAAGTTGAGTTTTGGAAAATAAAAATTTATCAACAGAATGACTTTTAGACATTTTAAAAAGTTGCGGTGAATTTAAGAGAAATGTTGAAAACTTATGGTAAATTTTAGACAATTTCCCTTAAAAAATAAATAGAAACAAAAGTACCCACAGTAGCCCGTAGAGTAGACAGTAGCGACCAGCGAGCAGACACGACCCGGTTCCGAGTCTAAAGCCTAAAGGCTCGCCTTGTGTTTTATAAGAAAGTGTAAGGGCTAAATCCAAACGAGGCATGCTTTCGTTTAGAGGTTTTAGCCAGAAAGTCTTCTTGTTTCAGAGATACACCAGTGTTCCTCTCATGGCGACTCTGGGTGGTTCTAGGGTTTCTGCTTTCACCACCGGTTCTCCCATTAATCCTCCTCCTAAGCGAGTAGGTACTCACAACGGTAGCTTTCACTGCGACGAAGCTCTCGGCTGCTTCATGATGCGCCTCACCGAGAAATTCTCCGGTGCCGAAATAGTGCGAACTAGGGATCCTCAGGTGTGCTTTCTAAAAGCTCTTTTTTTTTCCTTCCCAATAAATATCTCAAGTTTTTAGAGTATTGCTCGTGTCTCGTATTCACTTCTTAGTCGAATTGCTTTGATAATGCAGGTATTGGACACGCTTGATGCCGTACTTGATGTTGGTGGCGTGTATGATCCTAACCGAGATCGTTATGATCACCATCAGAAAGGTTTTGGTGAAGTTTTTGGCCATGGGTTCACTACCAAGCTCAGTAGTGCTGGGCTTGTCTACAAGGTAGGCAATCCGACATTTCAAGTATATCCAGTTAAAGGAATTGCATAAATGCATATTCGTCATATTAAATATGAACCAGGGAAAGGGATGGCGTTTGCAAACAGTTAGATTTTTTCTTTTCGTTAGCTCGATGTTCTTGGCCTTCCAATCCATATTCTGCATATTGTTTATTTGTTTTTCATTTTCCTGATTTCTTATCCATCACATTTGTTTATCCTGATAATAAATTAGCCGTCATTTGACCATTTATATTCTCTAAATACTATTGCTCTTCTCGTTTGCGTGCTCCTTCTAGTTATTCCAAAATAAATTTAAGAACAGCAGGGGCTTCAATGCTCAAACCATGCCGGAGTGCCTGACAGAGGAAATATTGAAATAATTAATATATGGTTTGATAGCCTATATTTCTATGCCATTTCTTTTGCATCTCCGCTTTGCCAATTTCTAAATTCCTGGTCTAAATTGGTGAAAGAAAGCCAAACCTAAAGTTGCCTACTTACTATATTTCAGAGTATACAGTATGGCAGTTAAGTGTTGAAAACTTGAAATTAGAAAGTTTTGAGGGATTTTATTAGTTGTTGATTGGGCTAGTGACTAGGATTCAATGGGGTTACATTGGGGCTGTAGGCCAGAACCAGGATTAAGCTCATGGAATTTACAATAAGAAAGGTTGAGTATGAATTGCTCAAAATTTAAGAAATTAATTAGAAATAAAATTCAGAAGTCTGAAGTTAAGAAAAGAATTGGGGTTCCACATTTGGGAATTTAGGGTTCAAATTCAAGATGAAAGACCGTTGAAGGATCCAATCCTATTTTACATTTTTTTACAAGAATTAGCACAATAACTGTCCTGAAAAATGTATTACATGGCATCAGAATAAATCTTCATGCTAGAAATCATGGCGAAACACCAAAGCACAAACTTGAATGGTTAGGGGTGACCACTGGATCAGGTTTTGTATGGGTTGGGTTGTTATGAACCCATTTCTGCCAACTTGCAACCAATGAGGTCTCTTGCATGAAAGAGAAGGGTTGGAATGGATAGTATGGTGGGTTGCATCTCTTTAAAGGTTGGGAGGTGGGAAGGAATAGTGTGGTGGTTTTCCATCTCTAGTTTGCAAATGACATTTTGATCATTTGTGATAGGGAAAATACAAATGGGGTTGAAAACTTGAAGCTAGTGGTTAGCCTCTTTGAAAGAATGTGTAACTTAAAAATCAATTGGAATAAGAATGTGGTGGTGGATATAAATGTTTTTGAAGAGGAGTTGGGCCCATTTGCAGAGATTCTGGGGTGTGAGAGAGGTGTGTGGCCTTTAAAATATTTAGGCTTACCTCTTGGTGGCAATCTGAGGTCTATCAACTTTTGGAACCCTGTGGTGGAGAGAATTGAGAAAAGGCTTGCAGGTTGGAAAAGGAATTACATCTCTTTAGGGGGAAGAATTACATTGATCAAATCCACCTTGGCTAACCTCCCTGTCTATTTTATGTCTATCTTTAGGATGCCTCAAGTAGTTGTGAAGAGAATAGAAAAATTGATGAGAGACTTATAGTGGGAGCCAGGAGATGGAAAAAAAAGAGATCATTTGGTTAGGTGGGAGAAGGTGGTCAAAAGGAAGGAAAGGGGTGGGTTGGGTCTAGGCAACATTAGGAAGAAAAACATTGCTCTTTTAAGTAAGTGTTTGTGGTGCTTCCCCTTGGAGAATGATAAATTGTGGCATAAAGTGGTGTCAAGTATTCATGGGCTTTTTAGGAACAGTTAGGATGCCGGTATTCTGCAAAGAGCTAACCATGCTACACCGTGGAAAGAATGCATTGTATTCTTCCTTAATTCCTTGAGCACATTAGGTATGACTCGTCCTTTGGTAATAGGATCAAATTCTACGAAGATGTGTGGGTTGGGGATCTTCCCTTGAAAGTGGTGTTCCCTTATTTGCGCATGCTCTTTCAAGCCTTAAAGAAAATCCTATGTCTGATTTCTTTGGGTCTTCTTCTTCCCCTAATGAGGGTTGGAACTTGGGGGTTCGTGAGAAACCTAAGAGAGCCTAAAATCCCTTCAATGTCTAACCTTTTGAATATCTTGGACAAATTGGTTTTTAATGAGTATGGGGAAGATAGATGGATGTGGAATCTCAGTCCCTCTGGGTTTTTCACTTGCAAATCCTTTTTCTCTTCACTAGTGGTCTCTACCCCATCCCATTCCTTCCCTGTTAAAGAAGTCTGGTGTGCCCCTATCCCCCCAAAAATTAGTGCCTTCTGTTGGGAAGCTTATCATGAGAGTGTCAACATGAGTGATTTGTTGCAAAAGAAAAGAAAAGGCCAAATTGGTGTTTGTCTCCCAATCGATGCATTTTTTGTGTAATTTGAATGGTGAGAATGCTTTCCATTTCTTTATTTCCCGCCCTTTTGTTTGTTGTATTTGGGAATGGTTGTGCTCTCTCTTTGGTTGCAGGTGGATCCCTTCTCTTAGTTTAGAAAGTCTCTTTAGCCCATCCTTCCTAAGATGCACAAAAAGAAGAGGCAGAATTTTGTGGAAGTGTGCTACAACAATCGTGTGGACTATTTGGGAGAAAAGGAACTTAAGAATCTTTGAGGATAAAGAAACAAGTAATTTTGGAGACTTTTACAATTAGAGTTTCTCATTGCGTGAGGACTTTTCTGAAATTGGACTATTCTCTGATTTCAGACCCTAACATAGACTTGTTTGAGCTTGCCTCGAGGGGCGTGGTACAAAGGCGACTCATAAAATCAAGAATGCAATATGTTTTACATCACATTAGCTACTTGAAGCAATGCAATTAAGGAGAATAAGAGATTGTGGGTTTTACACAAGGTTCAGAGTATCGATACGTATCGGCCCATATTGGCCGATACATATCGTGCTAATGGGTTCCCAATGCGCCCCTCCAAGGGTTGTATCGGGTTAGACACTGGTTCAGAGGGTAGCCGGGCCTTAAACTGAACCCTCTGAACTGGTTTCGAAAAAAATAAATAAAACTTAAATATTTGTTTTGAATTTTTAGTTTTTTTTTGGTTATTTTGCGCCTTGCTTAAAAAGGCGTGCGCCTCGCCTTGTGCCTCGGGAGCAAATTGGCCCTTGCGCTTTTTTTGCGCCTTGCGCTTTTAAAACATTGGGGTGATTAAGTGAGCGCTTTTCTCTTGCGGCTATTGTTGGGGTGCAAAAAGCCAAGGAAATGGGGATTACAAGATTGATAATAGAAGGAGATTCAAAAGTAGTCATTGACTGGCTGAAAAAAAGAGAAGGGGTATTATGGCAATTCAGAAATGAACTCAGACAGTTCAAGATGCTGTCAAGACATATGCAAATTCAGTTAAGATGGGTTAGGAGGTTTGCTAATGGTTTGGCAGATGGATTAGCTAAACAAGGAGTGAATAGACATCATTTGTTTTGGGCGCAATGTTAGTTGGGTGGTGGGATTCTTTGCTGTATTGGGTGTTATTTCTAACAATTTCTTGTTGTACTATTCTCTTTTAAATTTCGTTATGTGCTGATCAAAAAGAAGGGTTGGAATGAGTGAGAAAGGCTACAAAAGAGGAACAAGAGATAAGACAAAGACTGTATTGTCATGCTGTTGAGTAGAATAACGACTGAGGGGGAATCTATACCAAGCAGACTAGTCAGTTTGGGCCTGCTTCAACCAAAGTACCTGATTTAGGAATTAAGGTAGTGATTGGGGTTCCTGCCCTGACATTTCCCTGCCAAAACCATCCTATCAAGTTTAGGCTAGAGTTGGTTGTCTAATTAATCTGCTGCATTGCCATTCCTACCTAAACTTATGGCCAAAAATCACTAGAAATAAACTCAAGTGAAGTTGGTTACAATATTTTAACAAAACCCTAGAAATTATGGTGCACTTGACACGCTTAAGTGGGCTTTTGGTCTTGCTAACAAACTTTAGGGGCTGCTCCTTCCCCCTACATCTCGGATATAACATTATGCTTATTTATAGGATTAGTTAATGGAATGGTTTTTTTTTTTTTTGATGAATGAGTAAGTAATTTTACTAAAGAGAATAAAGAAGAGTACAAACAGCCTTAGAGGAGGCATGGGATGCTACCTCCCCTTGAGGATGAGTACAAATGGAAGTTAACTGATCTGCTTGGAGGAGGCACAAATGGAACGGATTTTCTGATCTGCTAATCCACTGGAAGTTAACTGACATATTCCTTGTGATCCATTTTACTTTTTTCAAGAGATCACTGTAGCCCCAAATAGCACTGTTCGGATTCAGCAGCCAACCCACTACCACCTTGGAGTCTCCTTCTACTAGTAGGTTCTGCACCCCAAGTTGGTTAATGGAATGGATTGACATATAAGCTCATAACTCTATATCTTTATCTTGTCCTGTTTTTTTTTTTTATATATATTTTTGATTGGTAACTATGTCTCTATTTAGTGTTCCCTATGTATATATTTTAAATTTAACAAGGTCCTTGCATAAAGAAATATTTGTCTGATAATAAAATAAAAATTGCATTAAAGAAAAAAGTGAGTGCAAGAAAAGGTGACCAGAAGTCACCTTGAGAAACAGAAACCGACCCTTCTCTCAAAGAACTCCCTGATCAAACCCTCAATACCTCAACCAAAAAAAGAAAACAAACTCTTCAACATCAACAAGAACTACAACCACCCAACCAATAAAAGCATGAAAATCCCATTAAATTGACACACAACCCTCACTAAACTTAATCAGGAACTATATACTTGATTATCCAACAACTTCATAATCTTGCAAATGATCCCCTTTATTTTTCTTACCTACTTTCTTCACCTTTTTGATATGTCCAACCCCAAATAAGTCTTCAGGCAAAAACTAAACCCGAACAGTTCGGTTATTTTTCTGACTTCTGAAACGCCCAACAGCATTGGGAAGCTTCTCAGAAATCTTTGACTCCTTAAAACTAGCATTGATCCTCTTTAACTCCAAGATTGAATCCTTCTTAAAGGTCTGATCTGCACCTGACACTCCAACATCAGGATTAGGATCCCCACTGCCACTGAAAGAGTTACTCTGTCCTGACCATTTTCAGAACTTGAATTAAAGCCAGCCACAACAGGATCAAGTTTATCTATTTTTCTGTCCTTAGAAGGCACACTATACTTTTACTCCAGTTACTTATTTTTCTTGCAAATTCCTCCCCCCAAGGAAAAACAAACCCGGAGATTTGCTTACCTCCTCTTCAGTATCCACCACTGTCTCCAAATCAATTAATCTTTCAATCACATGAGTCTCGTCAATAACTACAACTTCCTCATACGAATCAAAACCTTCATCTGCTTCATCTCCGACCTCGGCAACTTTGAACTGGCTTAGTTCTATACCTTCTATTTCTTCTATAAATATTTGAACTCGGAGTTTCGCGTTCAGATTTCATGTCATGGCCCTCTCTTACTTCATCACTAACACCTTCTGCAGTCTTGAACCCCCTTTGTGTATCAATCTCAAATTCACCACAATCTTTTATTTCAAGCCCAATTCTTTTCTCAGCCATACCTTCCTTGAGACAATTGACTTCTTCTCCTACACCCTTAGTCTTACTTCCCTCTGGTTCTTTCCGACTCCCAACAGTTAAAACCCCATCCCCAACAACACACACCGACCTCCCTCTCTCAACTCCAACACCCAACCCTTCTGAATTTGCATGAAACCTACCATTTAGATCTCCTTCCTTCACAAAACTCTCATCCTTTTCTTGTCCAGCTGTACTGATCCTCCTCCCATCCTCTCCAAATCTTCCTGGTTCACTTAACACCCCTCTTTCCCCTCCTTGCTTATTCTCACAACCTTCTGAAGAACCTCTTACCTCTGTGGTCACAACATTGAAGTCAATGGGCTTGACTAGGGTTTCAGAATGAACAACACCACCTTTATCTCCTCCCCCTCATCCTTTTCCTGAAGCTGAAAATTCACAGTCACAGCATAGAATGGAGCTTGACCACCCTCTTCAACTTGATCAGTTTGCTCTTTAATGTTAGAAACCTTTGCATCCTCCTCATCTACATCAGGATATGTCTCCACATGGTTGTACCTCATTACAATCCAGATCCACTCATCTGTGTTAGGCAAAAACTAAGTTTTTCAATGTTTCGAAAATATTGGGTCAGTTTTTATAATTAATTTGTTATGTGATCACTTTCTATTGATTCTATTTGAGGATATTGTTGTAATAAGATTGACCACATTCTAAGTGGCCTGTGGTTTTGTACAAAAGGGATGTAGGCTAAAGCATAGGCAGACATGATTTTATTGGGGAGAAAGGATCCCATGGTCTTGGACTCTCATATGCGGTTAAGTTGACATGGTAGATTTGTTTCCTAGCTTTTATGCTGCTTAAGTTAACACAACAACCTTCATTATGTCCAACTATTCAGGAACTTGAACACATAACTCTAGTTTGTGCTTCATGTTTAACTTTCAGTCTAGTCAAAATGTCATTGGTCTTTCTTTTCCAGAAAATCCAACATGATTTTTTCTTATCCAGCATTTTGGGATGGAGATAATTGCAAAGGAGCTTCAGCTTGATAAAGGACATCCTGATGTGCATCGGTTATTTCAGGCTATCTACAAAAGCTTTATGGAGGTGATAAATTCTGCAATTCTGTCAATATACTGCTATTTTATTTTTTTATTGTTAATATATTGTTATCTTCTGAATATCCATGTACCATGTGATATTATCATATATCATTGAATCTGGTGTTTGTGTCTTATCCGTAAATTTTAGTATTGTATTACTTTATTTGCTTACAACTTTTTCTAATAATACATGCTATTTTTTAATCTATTTGATTTCTGCTCCAAATGGTATCAAGGTGGTTCACGTTCATAGTGGTCATATCTGTCCTGTATAGCTGTTTATATTATAGGTTTCAGTGTCCACATGGACACTTGTCACATATATATGTAGGTAAAATTGCCCTTCCATCATTTGTTCTCTTGATGCAGCTGACCCCATATATTTGGGACAAGGTTCATATGATGATGATGTCATACATTTCTTTTCCCATTTTCTTTTAATTTAGGAGCTTGTTTCATCTTAATTCTTTATTTAATACTATTTATGCATGTTTTCCAGATATCCATAATGGTTTATCATATTAATTATTTTAGGCCTCACCAAGTCTGCTGTTGTTAAAATTCAGCTTTCCTGCTTAGTATTACAAGATTGACATCAAATAGTGGCATGATTAGTTGGGTCTTTAGTTGGATGTATTTATTTTTTTGCCTGGTCTCTTGGCACAGGGATCAGATCCCAATATGCATGAAATTTGGTTAAGCATAGTTAGTAGGCTTTCCCTTTGGGATGAAATTTAAATCTATCATATTTGGGTGGACTTAGAAAAGCATATTTATTGACCGTCTTTGCCAAAACTACTGTAACCTATTCTACTCTTTGTTTCTTGGGGTTATCATATTGAATGGTTTAATTAATGAAGTAGGATGATAGCCTGATAACAAGAAAATAGGATGGGAGAAAGAGTGAAAATTAGTTGGTGGCATTGTCAGAGAAGCTGAACAGTGTCTAAGGTTAGGTTACAAAAGGGAGTGCTAACTATTTGTGAATGGTGACAAAGATGGAAGGCATAACGATGGGGGGGGGGTATGATCCAAAATGGTCAAGTTTGGGAGGACAATTGATAAAGGGCATCTTTGAAGATTCCAAACCATACAAGGGAAATAAGGCAGTTGGCAAGGAACTTGGTAAATAATCTACAAACAAGATCAAAGATCATTAGATTCAATGGGACCTAGGTTTTAGAAGAGGCCTAAGACAAAGTGAATATGCTTCTCTTATTCACTTACTTGGGCGATGTTCGGCATTGCGTTCATCTCGTGGACAAGACTGAACCACGGGATGAAGACCCGCTCGATTGGGTGTGGACGGAGCCGGTCCCATCCACACCCCAATATAGCGTGGACTGGTCCCGTCCACACCCCAATATAGCGTGGACTGGTCCCGTCCACACCCCAATGTATCATCAACAGGAAAAACTCGTGGATATGTCCCCTCCACGGTTTATTTTTGATCCCATGCTTAAGGAGCAGGGGTTAGAGGCTGTGTGATCTAAGACAGACTACAGATACATAGAGATACACCTTCAGTTTTATCTCTGAAATTCTTACAGTTGCATTTCGGTTGTATGATCTAAAATATTAATTATTTTACTTAATTTTTTAATTTTTATAAAATTTTAATGTTTTTATCAATAAAATAATTTTTTAAAATATTTAAAATATTTTTTAATTATTTTACTATTGTTTTATAAAAAAATTAATATTTATTGGTTAATATTAATTTATTGATGCATTTTTTAAACTATTTATCATATAAAATGCGAAAGTTAGATATTTATGATTAACTATGTATATCATTCATAAAATGTGTATGAGATACATGGAATAAAAAAAGTGTGGTGTGGACCAGTCTACACAGTTTGTCCACAGTTCAGAACAGCTGTGGACTGTCGTGTGGTGTGGATTGGTCCCTGCCACAGGGCGTGGTGTGGACCAATCCACACCCACCAATTTCTCATTCACACTATAGAACACCCCCTTGGTCTTTTGGAGATAGTGTTCTTGAATCAAAATATTGAGGACACTAGGATCTGGTCAACCTCTCCTGGTGGTCTTTTCATTTGCTCCTCTTTTATCAGAAACCCCACCCTCCTTATTTCTTCAGGATTTGACTTCCCGGTGAAAGAAATTTGGAGTAAGCCTATTCCACCTAAGATTTAAGTTTTCGACTAGGGAATTTTCCTTGGAAGGATTAATAGTTGTAATATTCTATAGAGAAGAAGGCCTAACTCTTGCCTTTCTTCTCATATATACTTTTTATGCAAGGCTAGTGGCGAAACTAGGCTGTTCTTTAGTGCATTGCATTTGGAAGTATTTCTGTTCTCTTTTAGGTTGCAGGTGAGATCCTCCTCAAGATGTAGTTGGTATTTTCAATTCTAACTTCTTGAGGCAACCAAAGAAAAGAGGGAGGATTTTGTGGAGGGTTGCAAAGACAGCAATCGTTTGAGTTGTTTGGGAAGAAAGAAATGGAAGACTCTCTGAGAGCTGAAATTTTGGCTCTCCTACAAGGCCTGAGATTTTCCGAGCAATGGGGATTTCAGAACTTTGAGGTGGAGGGGAACTGTTAATAGGGTGTCTGCAGACAAAAAGGTTGGGTGTATGGACTTTTAGACAACAAATAAGGGAAATAATCTGCTTGGCAAGGGATGTTGGAGTAACTTTCAAATGGGTAAGGAGGTCAGCCAACTCTGTGGCAGATAGTTTGGCAAAGCAGGGGACCTTCAGGGAAAACTTTTTTTTTTTTTTTTGATCAATCCTTCAGGGAAAACTTCTATTGGGCTGTATTGTAATTCTTGAAGTTGATTGGAGTCAACACTCATATTCTGAGTGTTTGACAGTGTATGTTGTTTACTTGATATCTTCAATGAAAGTTATTGTTTCCAATCAAAAAGAAAAAAAGAAAGAAAGAAAGAAATGGAAGACTTTTCAATGGGAAGAGTAGATCATTGGAGAAGGTAATAGACAACATAAAGATAAGGGTTACATATTGGTTAAAAACCTTGGAAAGTTTTCAAAAGTTCTCTGTAAATGTGATAATAAGAGCCTTGACTGATGTGGCACAATCTTCTAGAGTAAAAGATATGATAAAGATGGATCGGAAACTTCTAGAAGGCAACAGAGTAAAACTCAACTTTGATGGAAGCTCTTTTTGGAAATCTGGGCATGGTAGGAATAGGAGGTGTATACAGGGACTAGGAAAGCTGGATATTAGCCTTGTATTCAGGGCCTATTGGAATGGGAAACTCTTTGAAAGCTGAACTGATGGCTTTGCTTCAGGGTCTAAGATTAGCAAAACACTTGGGCTATAGACAGGTGGAGGTGGAAGGGGACTCAAAACTAATTATTTCCTGGGCATGCTGCAATAGACACATCCCCTGGACTCTCAGACATGTTTTTAGGGAAGTGGAAAGTATTGCAAAGGAGTTAAATACTGACTTCAGTTGGGTGAGAAGGACAGCAAATGAGATAGCTAATTCCCTTGCTAAGCAAGGGGCTTTGAGGCAGCAACTGTTTTGGGTTTCTATGTTCCAGCTCTTGTATTGACAGTCCTGTTAATTGAATGTTACTTTTAACTCCATTTTTTCATCATTTTTAATAAAATACCTTTTCTGCTGATTAAAAAAAACCTATTTTGGCGGCACTTGTAAGGTGGTTATTTGCATCATTGTATGTAAAAAAACATAATGTGTGCACAGTTTTTAAGAGCTGCAAACTAACTGAGGCTTCGAGTTATGGTTTATTTAGTTTTTTTTCACTGCTAAATTGTGTTGATCTGTTACAACTTGTGGGGATACGTAATAGAAGTATCTTTGAAGATTCAAAACCATCAAGGAATGCTGAAAGTTGATATCAGATAATTATGCTTGTTGTATAAAATACTTGTTTAGAATGCAAATTAATTGATCAGATATGTATGTTGATTGTTAAATTGGTTAGTTTTCCTCCACTAAAATGCACAAATTTGTTTATCCTAATATATAATAATTTTATTAAGCAAGAAAAAAATGTGAGAATGTGTCTTAGAAATGTAAAGAAAAAAGAAGCCAATTATATTGGGGAAATGTCTTCTGGAAATACACGGTAAATGTGAATAAAAAAAACAAACCGGTGGGACCACCCTTTATCTCAAATAAGGGGTGGTCAGAAAGTCTACTATTAATAAATTCTGATTAATTACCAATCAAAAAAGTGAGATGCAATGAAAAGTTGTACCAGCATTCCCTTGTATGTCCTGAGGGTTGAGGCTAGTTTTAACATGCTACCTCCTTTCAAACAACACTATACCCAATACAGCATCACTATTGTCCTTTAACCTGGTGGACATTAACCCTAGTATAGGATATATGTATCACCACTTGAGCAAGTTTGTTGCTCTCTGAATTCATCTAAATGAGGCATACATACAATTGGCTAAAGATCCAGCTCCTCTATGAAATGTCTCAAGTGTAATGGACCTATCTAATCTCCTTGTATCCATTCAATTATTACCAGTTAATCCCCTTCCAGGAGAATCATTTTCTGTAAATTTCCTTGGGTATGTTAACCAGCTCAAAATGCAAGGATGATTGAGCCCATCTAACAAAATGGAGCATTTATTATTTATTGTATTGTTCTAGTATTTATTTTCATTCTTCTTATTGACCTTTTTCCTATTTGTGGCAACATTCAAAAGCATAATGTCTAAGCTTTTAATTGAAAATTACACTTACAGTAATTCAAATAATGCAAAAAAAGAAGAAAAGAGAGAAAGAGAAAGAAGTTTCAGCAATAGGTTGTAGAAGAAGAGAAGGGAAGAGAGAAAAGAAGAATTCGAACCTCTCTCTCTAGCCCTCTTTCATCACTTTTATTAATAATTTTAAGTCTGAGTACAATTACTTGGATGTCCTTAATGGAGCGGCCAACACTAAAATAATTAAAGAAAATAAAAGAAGGCCCATAACTAATAAATATAACTTTTAAATAATACTTAAAAGAAATAAAGAACACTAAGACCCATTCCGCCCATTCTCACTACACTCCCCTTGGAGCTGAGCATAGATGTCAATCATGCCTAGCTTGCTTTCATAATGTTGAAGCTTTGCCTTTGGGACTCCCTTAGTTAGAAAATCTGCTAGCTGCTCTTCTAGTGCAATGAAAGGTAGGCACACCTCTCCTGAAGCCACTCTCTCCCTATCGTGTCTATCTATCTAAATGTGCTTAGTTCTATCATGCTGAACTGGGTTGTGAGCAATGTTAATAGCAGCTTGGTTATCACAATACAACATTAGTGGCTCGTCACAAAGACATGCCTCCTAGATATGGGATTAATCAGCATCAATGGTTCGTCACAATAGGATTATTAACATATCTGGGAGGCTGAACTAAGTAGACAGACAATGAATTGTCTTTTGCTCTCTTCACTGCTCACCATAGCATATGCCTAGGACAAAGTCACCTCATCCTTTGCTAAAACATTTTGCCTCACAATATCATACTCCAAATTGAGTCCAATGAGGAACTCAAAGACCTGATTTCTCTCCACCAACCTCCTATACGTTTCTGCATCCTTTTTGCAACCCCAAACAACAGTCTCCATCAGATCAATCTCTTGCCAAAGAGATTTCCGCATAGAGAAGTAGACTGCTAAGGGCTTCTCCCTCTGTTTTAAGATTATTCACATCATGCTTCAATTTGTAGGCCCGAGCAACATTAAGCTTTTGGGAATAGGTCTCTGTGACACTATCCCACACTTCTTTTGCAGTTTCCATCCACAGGTAATGTTGACTAATGTGTGGTTGCTTAGAATTCACTAATCAACCCACTACTGTGTAGTTTTCCTGCATCCACCTTTCATAGGTAGGATCATCCTCCGCCGTTTTCTTCTTGCTCCTGATGGTATAACCCCATTTTCCTCTACTACACACATGTATCTTAATAGATTGAGACTAAGCTAAATAATTGGTCCCATCTAGCTTCATAGTAGTCACTGCCCCAACAAGATTCTCCATTGACCCCCCATGTCCAAATCTGGAATCTGTAGAATATTTGGTCTCTCCTATTGTTCTAAGCAAAGTACAACCTTTCAACCCCCCAAAATTAGGGTTTCACAGGGTCCTGCGGGATGGGGAGAAAGAAAGAAACTTCAACTGCCCCTTCTAGAGGTTCCAGAAATCAATCCAACCAAAACCGCCCCTAATAGAAATCAAAAGGCTTACATTTAATTCCCAAGCGCCTGGTTCAAACTGTCTCTACGACCTGTAACAAGGTCTCTCTAGTTATCTAGGGTTTTCGGGAAAAATCTCCAAGAACCTGCCATGGGCTTCAACTAAGGATGAAAAACCTCTACAAAACTTTCCAAAAACCTTCCTAACTGGGCTGCATAAGTAGCTGATTGATTAACCGATCAGTTCTCCATACACACTATGTATGGGCAAAGAAAGGAGAAAAAAGTTGAAAGTGAGAACCTACTCTGATACCAAGTTGAAAATTACACCCTACATTAATTCAAATAATGCAAGAAAAGAAGAAAAGAGAGAAAGAGAAAGAAGAAAGAAGTTTCAGCAATAGGTTGTGGAAGAAGAAAAGAAGGGAAGAGAGAAAAGAAGAATTCGGACCTCTCTCTAGCCCCCTTTTATCACTTTTATTAATAATTCAAAGTCTGAGTTCAATTACTTGGATGCCCTTAATGGGGCGGCCAGCACTAAAGAAATAATTAAAGAAAATAAAAGAAGGCCCATAACTAAGAAACATAACTTTTAAATACTACTTAAAAGAAATAAAGAACACTAAGGCCCATTCGGCCCATTCTCACTACACTTTTCTATGCATTGGTATTTAGATGCTAATTTGATAGAATATAATCTTTTTACTATGTAGAACCAATTGATTTGACATTTTTATTCCTTCATAACAGGCAATTGATGCTATTGACAATGGGATTAATCAATATGACACAGATCAGCCTCCCAGATATGTTAATAATACACACTTGTCTTCAAGAGTTGGAAGACTTAATTTGGATTGGATGGATCCTGACCAGTCAGCCGAGAAGGAAAATGAAGCGTTCCAGCATGCAATGAACCTGGCTGGAAGTGAATTTTTAGAGGTTTTTCCTCTACTTTTTATACAGTTGCTTATTTTCATCGTTTTATTTTTCTGTACCAAAATGTCTTCTTGGTTCGTTGATGTTAATCCTTTTAGTCTAGCCTCAAATAACAATGTATAATCTAAGCATCAACTATAGATTACTTCAGGGAGAGTATATACCTGTGATTTATGGGCATGGGTATGAGTTTGTGTTTTGACACTAATATGACATAGCAAACATGGGAAGCCCCCAAAATCTTGAAACTGGAATATCCAACCTTGTTCTTGACATGTAACTTCATGTCAATATATGTCTGACATTCTATATATGCATTTTTATAAATTAAGTCTCATAAAGTTAACACAGTTTTCTATTTTCAGAGTGTTAGGTTTCATGTAAAATCATGGTTACCAGCACGATCTATTGTTATTGAGTGTCTTGCTGCAAGAGGAGATGTCGACTCCAGTGGAGAAATCATGGTGTTGAATAAATTTTGCCCTGTAAGTAGGAAATATATGTCTAAGCACTTTCACAATTTTGCCATATATATGGTTAAAAGCTAGTTTCTTAATGAAAGAACTTCATTTTCTTCTCACAATTTTCAGTTTCATGTTTGTGCTGGTGGTATTTTAAACTTTTGAGAAGGATCTTTTTTCATGAAAGAATATCATTTCTCTTAGTGAAGCTTGAACTTGTTACAGAAATTGTATGTATTCTATAATAATAGATTTCATTCCAGCCACAGCTAGCCTTTTTCTAAAGTTAGATGAAGTTATCTTTTGAAAAATTTCCAGATAAAATTGATAAACTGATAAATGCCCATTTTGAGCACCAGAGCATCTTCAAGATGGTCATACAGAGATATAGATTTCTAAACATAAAAGGGAAGATTCACCATCTATTTGTTAGGTCACTACTCAGTATAGAACTCTTTAATCAAAAACATATTCAGGATGAACTGAAAGGTATTTGTGCTCTAGTTGTTCCATAGGAATGGTAAAATCTTGTGTAAATAACACCATCCACATTCTCAGGAATCTATTGCTGGATTTAAATTCTTATGAAAATATCTTGTCTAGAAAGGGATAGACCCTTCATACAGAGATACTTTTGTCTTCTTATTTCCCCTAAGATGCATCTAAATTCTAAAATCTGAGACATATTTTAGATATATGTAAATCTCTATGATATGCATTTTGGGGATGATTTTCAAAATTGCATCTCTTGAAATTCTGCTTTCTTAGCCCTGTTTTGGTTCCCTCTCCATGTTATGGTTATTTAGGTCTAATCCACCCTTCTGCTGCAAATTCTAACTACAAATATGCTTTTTTTTTATTGATTTTCGTTTAGATCTGAAATTTTCCTTAGCAATAGTTGTGTTAATTTTTGTATTTAAGCTGGGTATGCATTTTTCATTTTCTATTTCTCCTTTTACTGTAGATATAACTAAATTAGGGAGAGTGCAGAAGTGCTAGGGTGTGAGGTCTCAGGATGGCCATTGAATTACTTGGGGCTGCCATTGGGTGATAATCCAAAGAGGGAGAGTTTCTGGAATCCGGTGGTGGAAAGATTTGAGAAGAGACTTGTTTCTTGAAAAAAGAATTACCTCTCTCTTGGAGGTAGGATGACACTGATTAAGGCTACTCTAGTAAATTTACCCATTTATTTCCTTTCATTGTTTAAAATCCTAGTAAAGGTTGCTAACAGATTGGAAAAGATGATGAGAGAGACTTCTTTTGGGACTCAGGAGAGGAGAAGAGGGACCATATGGTAAGATGGAAGGTGGTGACCAAGAGTAAAAACAGTGGTGGGTTAGGGCTTGGGAACATTAGAGAAAGGAATTTGTCTCTTCTAGGGAAATGGTTGTGGAGATTCCCATTATAGAAGGAGAAATTATGGGCTAAAATAGTGGTAAGCATACATGGGCTGGAACTAAACGGATGGGATGCTGGAATCCGGGTTAGGACCACAAGCGCTTCGCCTTGGAAAGCCACTCATGATCTATTACCAGCCTTTTCCCCTTTTATCAGGTATGATGTGAATTCAGGTAATTCCGTAAAATTTTGGGAACAAACTTGGGCGGGGAATGCCCCTCTAAAGGACTAGTTTCCTTCTTTCTATGTCCTATCTGTTTTGAAAAATGAGCCAGCTTCCTTCCCCACCACAACCCAGGTAACTGTGTCCTTTTGTTTTGTGATACTAACTGTTGCTCTTTGACTTCTGTGCCAAATACAGATCCCAACCCAGAGGCTGCAGCCCTTGAAGGAGGGGATGGGGTGAGAGAAAATAGAAGCGATAGGGAGGGTCAAGAGAGAGAAGTAGGGAATGAAGGAGAAACAGAAAAAAAGAAAAGAATCCTGGAAATCCTAGAGTGTCTGTTAAATGAAGCAGTGGTGGAAAACAATCAAAAGGGTTAGAGGGTTTTGAGGAGGAAGGAGATAGAAGGGGGGAGACAAAAACAGGGGAGGGAAGTAGAAAGTCAGGTGTAAGAGATGTAATCAGTGAGGATTCTGTGGCGGGTTTTGTACAGAAATTGGGGTGCAATTTGAAAGATCCAAATGCTCTCAAAGTATTTTTGAAAACAAAGAAAGAAGAAGCAAAATCTAAAAGGAGAAGAGTGAGTGAGGCTGAAAGGCTGCTAAAGGAGGTGGGAGGAGATAGAGGTTTGAAGATCAAAGGAGAAAGAAGGAAGAGGAATAACTGAGGGCAGGAGGGTCTAAGGGGGAAAGAAGTTAGTTAGATGAGGATCTTAAACTGGAATGTTAGAGGTTTGGGAAGTGCTAGGAAGAGAGCAGTAATAAAAGAGGCCATCAAGAAAACATACCCGGATGTGGTATTTTTTGCAGGAGACCAAGAGAGCAGATTTTGACATTAGGTGGGCAAGGAGTGTCTGGAGAGGCAAATAGTCCAAGGTGGAGATCGACCTTGAGTATGAGGAAATTCAATCAATTTGTGGATGTTTACGAGCTTAAAGAGATTCCACTATCACACAACTGTTTTACTTGGTCCAATCTCCAAGTGAACACGATTTGCTCTAAGCTGGATAGATTTCTATTCTCAAATGACTGGGAAGAACATTAATTATAAAAAAAAGACTGGGAAGAACATTAATTATAAAAAAAAAGACTGGGAAGAACATTGGGGGAATCTAAACTCTAGAGCATATCCAAGGGTGACTTCTGACCATTGGCCTATTGTAATCTGTAGGGAGAAAGTGAGAAGTGCTGGTCTTGCTCCCTTTAGGTTTGAAAACATGTGGCTAGGACACCCGGGGCTCATAAAGAAAGTCAAAGAGTGGTGGCTAGAAAGCAATCCAACAGTGAAATGGTGTGGAATGAGGTTTCATAAGAAGCTCCAGTATCTGAAAGGCAAAATCAAGGAGTGGAATCTGTTAGAGTTTGGGAGATTAGAGGAAAGAAAGCAAATAGTGACTGCACAAATTGAGGACCTAGATGGCAAGGAAGAAAGGGGTTGTCTTACATAAGAAGATAAGGAGCTAAGATGGAAATTGCGTAAACAGTTAGAGGATTATCTTCTTCAGGAGGAAATAAGTTGGAGACAAAAATCAAGGTGCAAATGGCTGAAGGAGGGGGATAGGAATACCAAATTTTTTCATGCGGTGGCAAGTGGAAGAAGAAGAAGGAATTTTGTTCCACTTTTATTGCACTGGTTCCTAAGAAGAGGAATGCATGTCACCCAAAGGATTTCAGACCGATCAGCCTAGTCAACAACCTTTATAAGATTATAACCAAGGTGTTGTCCATCAAAATAAGGAAAGTGCTCCCAACAATTATAGCAGATAATCAAGGAGCTTTTGTGAAGGGGAGACAGATAACAGATCAGATTCTGGTAGCAAATGAGAGCTTGGAGGAGTTTAAGAGATCCAAGAAAAAAGGGGTGATTTGTAAACTGGATTTGGAAAAGGCTTATGATTTGGTGGATTGGTCTTTCTTGATGGAGGTGATGACCAATTTTGGTTTTGGGGATAATTGGTGCAGATGGGTCTTGGGTTGTATCAGGAACTGCCATTACTCCATACTGGTAAATGGGACAGTGGTCAGTTTCTTCCCAGCCTTGAGAGGGATTAGGCAAGGAGACCCCCTCTCTCCCTTTTTATTTACTTTGGTAGCTGAAGTTTTGGAGAGACTAATTTATAGAGCAGATTCCAGGGGCTTAATGAGAGGCTGGAGAGTTAGGAGGGAGCTTGTGCCACTCACACATTTGCAATTTGCAGATGACACCATACTCTTTTGTGAAGCAAGGGACCCTAACAGGATTAGAAATTTGAAGCTCACTATACGACTTTTTGAGCAAATGTCAAACCTTAAGGTGAATTTTGAGAAGAGTTGTATA